ACTCTAACTCTCCCACTGGTGCACTGAACCCCCTACTAAATGTCTGAGATACGAAGGACCGACTCGCCCCCGAGTCAAATAAGACCAAAGTAGGCAAGGAGTTCACTAAAAACATACCTAACCATAGGTGCCACAGATAAGAATGCAACAGATATAAAAATAACGAGATAAGGATAGAAACATACCAACAACCACATCCGGTGCTGCTCTGGCCTCCTCCGCTGTAAGCTGGAAGGCACGACCCTGAACCCTTGGAGGCTCGGTCCTGACTGGTCTCCCATCCGTGATCCTCAAAGTAGCCGGTGCTGGAGCCTGCGCCGGCATGGCGGCGAGTAACGGGGAGTTGGCCTTCAAATGGCCAACCTGATCATAATGGTAACATAACCTTAGACTCTGAACTGGAGCAGCCTGGCGACAGTCCCTCACGTAATGCCCCTCCCTTCCACATTTGTGGCATCCACTACCAGCTCGGCACACACAAGAATGACCCTTGCCACACTTCCCACTTGTGCGGCTCTGCTGACCCCCAGTCCTAGTATCAGCGGTCTTAGACCGCTTCGCCGCCGGCTGAGAATGTGTCGGGGCCTGCCGCTGTTCTCTCAACTGTTTCTCAATCTCCAACTCACACCGTCTGGCGGCCTCCTGCAACTCTAGAAGAGTATCACATCGTTGGGTAGACACAAACTGATGGATATCCGTCTTGAGCATGCTCAGATAACGGGTCATCTGAGCCTGCTCTAAATCAAACTCCGGGTAAAACATCGCCCTCTCAGTGAACATTCGGGTGATCTCCGTCACCGACTCCCCATCCTGTCTCAAACTCAAAAACTCCTGTGAAAATTGCTCCCGTTCAACTCGTGGAATGTAACGGGCACGGAACATATCCCTGAACTGCTCCCAAGTAACAGCAGCTCTCTGATCATCAGAGTATGACCCAGTCGCAATCTCCACCAGTCCTTGGCCCCCGACCTAAGCAGGTTCAGAGCACACCTGACCTTTTGGTCAGCAGGACACGAGCAGGTGAAGAAACACCACTCCACATCTGAAATCCACCTCATAGCCTTGATGGGATCCTGCATCCCATCATAAGTAGGGGACTTCGTGTTATCGAAGTCCCTGTACTGAAAACCCCTACCAACTCCTCCCCTCGTCGTTAATACAACTGATGCAGCTGCTGCGGCGGCTGTCTCTGCAAGGGCTGCATAGCGCTCATCAAAATACTCCACCATGGCGGTCTTAATCGACCCGAACATCTCCGGTAACTGAGCCCAGAATGCAACAACAACCTCATCATGCAGGATTTTCGGAATCCTGACATCCAACTCCTCTATACCCATCTGCACCACTGGCTCAGGTGTTGTCGGCCCGTCCTGACCTCCATCCCCTGATCCTGATCCCAAACCGGATCCAACCACGAAGCGTCTCGTCATCACCATTCTGAAACATAGCACAAGATATTAGATAATTCATATAAATCTTTGGGAGCCAACTCCCTACTAACCCTAGGGATTGCGACTTACTTGGCACGCGTATAGGTTCTGTGCTTTCAGTAGCATGGGCCCCTACTACCTTCCACACCTACCCATATTTGTTCCAAGTATCCCCACAACACCCTAACAATATGTACAACAAGGCGAGCGCTCAACCCTCACTCCTAGAGGAATGCTAAATATCTCATAATTGACCTCTCGGTCTCACTCAATCCCTCTTATCCATGAAACTTCCACCAACCCTGCAGCACTAATGTATGCTAGCCATACATAACACTGGACGACTTTTAAATATCCAACCCTACCCCAAGCTCCCAATCAAACAAGAACAGAACATAAGGCCAAATCAAACATTCTCAGGCTATAAGATCTTAATTAGGTACAACTGTGATGCATACATTAGACAACTACAGTAATGATGTCAATCTCACATAAGGGATCCCTAGGCTATCAGGGATCATATAATCAGGCAATTCTATCATGCAATTCCTGAAGATCCCTAGCCTAGTACTAGCACGCTGTTCTAACATATCACAATATCAATAACTATATGGTATTTTGGGGTCTACTTACTGGCTCCGGCTGATCGTACACCCTGCATCCTCCTTTACTTATTTTGAAAACCATTTAAAACCATTTTGAAAATCTTTCCTCGATTTGAGACTGGATTCACACGAATGTTCCTCCAATTCACTCAAACCAAGGCTCTGATACCAACTTGTAACACTCAAAATTTAAGCCAAAATTTAAATTTTCAAAAACACGTCGAATTCATCAAAACATTACAACTTTGTTTTGAAAATACATTTATATCAGAGTTTTCCCAGAAACATAACACAATAGGAGGAGCTGTACGATCATGCCTTCGCCTTGCCACGATCCCCTGAGGTACCTGAAACAATAAACTGAAACTGTAAGCCCGAGAGCTTAGTGAGTTACCCCCAAAATACCGACACACATACAGTCCACATAACCCTGTCACACCTTAACATATCATAAAAACTGAACAGAATAGCACATAATGGGTCCACAACTTTACAGATTGGAATACCCCTGGGCCCACAGTGTGAGTCTGGAATGCCTACCAGGCCCTGAACTCGTATCTGGAATGCCCCCAAGTCCTCAGTATGAGTCTGGAATGCCTATCGGGCCCTCAACTCATATCTGCAATACTTTAGGGTTTGATGGCTATCGCACGGAGCAGTACAACCTCAACCCATCTCACATAACATATCACATGTAACAGATAATGCACATACAGGAAATCAATCAGTATCACAGGTAGTCCTACAGTCCTACCCTCAAGAGTATCAAACTAGCATGCATAACTAACTCTGACTCAACATAATACAACTACTAGGATATCATATCCAATGGGCTGGCCTTGGTGCCTTAGACCCCTTAGTATAGTGAGGATAACTCACCTCGCAACTGTCGTCGGAAATAAGAAATCTCAACTACTGGGTCTAACACGAACTCCACCACCTACAAGTACCACAAAACCTTTTTCATAAATCTCCTAATCCCAGAAACCCACAAAATTCAATTGGTCAACCCTTGGTCCAAGTCAAGGTCCACAGTCAGAGTCAACAGTCTATGTTGACTCGAATCACTGAGTGCAGGTCGCCGACTCGCTGAGTTCTTCCTGATTTCGAGAAGTCGTGAAATCCTTGATTTGCTCGTCGAGGTCTCCTTTTAACTCGTCGAGTTCATATGCGGCCAAGATTTTGGAAGAAACCCTAGCCAACTCGCCAAGTTTTCTAACACTCGTCGAGTTCAAGGCAATCTTCAGCGAACTCGCCGAGTTTTTCATCCAACTCGTCGAGTTCATGGCCATCTTCAACGGACTCGCCAAGTCCCTTAATCAACTCGCCGAGTCCATGCAGATCTTAATCCATGCAGATGCTCTTTAAGCCATGGCAAGGCCCCAAATTACAAATCCAAGCTCCTAAGGCACGTTTATCACGTAAAGTTGCAATCTTTACATACATGCAAGGCTCTAAAGGCCCGAAATGATCAATCTAAGCTCTTTAATGGAGTTTTACACCTTGGGAGAGTTTCAACCTTGCACAATCTGGGAACTTTATGGATCTAGAGGTCAAGGGAAGTCTAGATCTAAAGTTATAACTTCAGATCTTAGCTTAAACATGGAGAGTCCTTCATAACACCCATCCAAAGGAGGTTCAAAGTGAAAAGAGCTTAAGGAATAGCCTATTACCTTCCAGAGAGTGATGTCTGATGCAATCCCTTAGCTTCCCCGAGTTCCTGGCGTTGTTTTTCCTTGCTTCTTCAAATGCTTCCTTCCAAGGTTACTCCTTCAAGCTTGGACACCAAAGAACACACACACATTTTAGGGTTTGAGAGGGACAAGAAGCATAAAAGGAGGCTGGTGGAGGCCAATGATCCTTTAAATAGGGTGTAAAACCCCCAGAATTTAGGGTTTCATCTGCACCTCCTACTCACCGAGTCCCTTGGTGGACTCGCCGAGTAGGTCACTAAACACGTGTTCCATTCCCACTGCTACTCGGTGAGTAGGGCAACCAACTCGCCGAGTAGGACATAAGACCAATTATTATTTAATTAAATTTATACCTGGAATCGGGATGTGACATTGAATGAGCAGAAACCATCTGAATTGCACCTCTTACCATCAACTCTGTGATCGCTTTTCTTTTTAGTGATCCATTAATCTCTCATCATCATTAAAAAAATATTCATAATCGGAATACATAAATAGAAGTATAGGATTTAAAAATATGATGTAATCCAACTTTAAACATATATTTGTTGCACATGATATGACAGAACAAAACCTGATAGCTTCGTATTGTGTTTGACATGCATAAGACTATGACTGAGACCGGTCAGTGAAACAGATTTCGAACATTTGTCCACCGAAGAAGCTGGGGCATATATACAAAAGACAAAAATACCCTGCTCATCCTAGTCATAATAAATTACCCTGGAGGCCTAGATTATTCTATACAATGTTTACAACGAAGAATACATTATCCTTGTGGTCCCCAATCTACCATTTTCTTTTATATTTTTATTATACCAAACTCAAAGGCAAAGTGAACAGGACTATGAAAGCAAAGAATAAGTCGCTTAAAAAATGTCCACATCTCCTATTAATGTAAGAACAAGAAAGAAAAAAAATATATTCCAAAAATGTTTTACCATAACTAGATATTAAGATATGTATTTCAACAAATTACAAACAAGAAAACCTAGTTCATGATTCATTATGCTAATCCTTTTTTGTCCTATAGAAGAGGCTGGTCAAAGATACAATAAATCGGACAAAGAGAACAAGATATATGGAGGTCAAAACAAAATCATCAAAATATATTAAGATCCTTTGGTTGAAAAAAGTGAGTTTTGGAGCCACATGTAATATTCCTCCGAGGTAACATTTTCAGATCATGGATACAATCTCATAAGTGATCCTAAAACCCTAAAATTAAATGTATCCATAAAGTAAGGCACATTCTATTTTGACACAAGAATTTAACCTAAATGATGCTGCAAAGAGATGTCTGCAATAGAAAGAATAAGAATGTAGAGAAAAAGAAATACCCTCAAACGATCAGAGAGAATTGAAGGAGTGATGAGCTTGAATTTGGGTGCCTCGGAAAGTAGCTTATCATACGTTGCTTTATCAAACAACACCATGTTGTTTACCTTCTCCTTTTGCTTTCCCTTGCCCCATTTCTGCATTACGCAACATCAATTTCATGATCATCAAAATTATAGTATTACAGCTTGGAAACAAACTCAGAGATGCAAACAAATCAATAATCATCAACAAGCTCGAAACAATGTAAATGTATTGTGACCTTCTTCTTCTGCTTTCCACCGACGGACTTAGCGGGTTTGGAAAACGGCGGAGGTGCCTTCTCCTTCTTCGAAGCCTACAAAAATAATGTCGATTTTAGGGTGTTTAAATAGTAAAGGGGTGCTTGGATTAACTTTTTAGCTTATTGCTTATAGCTTATTTGTGGTGGGAATAAACAATAAGCAATAAGCATGGGGAGGGATGCTTATTAAAATTAGCTTATTTAACTTAAAAAGTTGGATTTTATCCAAACACTCAAATTAGCTTATTCTGGGAATAAGCAATAAACACCTCTTTTTTTCCTATCCAAACACCCCCTAAATATACAAGCAACGATTCTAGAAAAGAAAGAAGAAAATTTTAGAAGGGGATATACGTACCATTGGATCAGGTGAGATAGTAGAGGATCCGCGGCGGAGGGAGGATCCGACGAAGGACGGTAACGGTGGTGCCCGACGCTCTTCCGATTGATTAAAAAGCAAAAACCCTAAGTTTCTACTTTCACCACGTTGTTAGTTGTTCGGTCAAATTTTGGGGCCTTTCTTAGGCCCAATACGGCTATTACTTGGGCCAATTGAAAATACAAAATAACTTTGTAATTTTCACCCTCACACTCAACTCAAATATCTCTATCTAGATAAAAATCAAAGACTAAATCGAAAAAAATCGAAATCAAAGTGAAAAAAATTACATACATTAAAATCATGAGACCGGTTCTAAAAGATCAGACCGAAAAAACAGGTCTAGAAAAATTCAGATCATTCCAAGGCCGAACCGTTGAGCGACCTGAGACCGGTCTGTGACCATCAATATGTAGTTTTTTTTCAACCAAACCCTAGAGTATAAGTTTACATAATTGGTTTTGTTAATAGTTTTGGATGAGAGAATGTGTAATCGATGGAACTAGAAAACTGTATTTATTCGGATTCAACTAAGTATACTTTTTTTTATATCTACTATCAAATACCATTAAATGGTGATATTCATATTGGGCTCGATCCAATCTCATGGACGAGAGAATGTGTAATCGTTGAATCTGGACAACCTATATTTATTTGGATGAAACTAAATATAATTTTTTTTATATCTACTATCAAATTCGATTCAATGGTGATATTCATATTGGGCTCGATCCAATCCCATGGAATTTCTTGGATTTTTGTTTTATATGAAGTTTATTATTTTTGGAATAAGATACTCTTGGTGAAATTTCAACTATGAAATATTGCATTTAAAACAAAAACAATAATTATTTAATATTTAAAAACACTCGTTTATTCATTACAACAACAATAATTAAACCTTCACTTATTACTTTTATTCAAAGAGCCAGAAACTACGAAACACATGATACACGTCGTCTATTTTTCCCCGATCTTGTAACATTTAGCAATTGAAATAGCAAAAGCATGCCCTCCCAACTCCATCTCGGTGACAAGCTCCATGTTTTGCCCCCTCCCATTCCCGACATTGCTGATCACAGTGCTTTGAGTCTCCACAAAACCCTGACCATGTTTTGCTTCTCCGCCCACATACCTTGTTCGTCTCTTTGGTACCCACCACTGTATCTACAGTTACGTTCAACATTATATAAAAATAAAACCAGACAAAGTTTAATAAAATTACCATAACTAATTTACAAAACGTTGGGCACAAAAAATCTAATAGCAACATATTTTTTAGCAACTAATTAATGATATATTTTTTTCATTGTGAACTAGTTTTTCGGTTTTTGCTTACCTATACGCAACACCAGGAAGAAGACGAAGAGAAAAACAAATATAACGGCAAGAGGATTGGTGCTTTTTGCCATTTTGGATTAGATTGATATAGAAGTACTAATCGAGTGTATAATTATAGTGCAAAAGTTTGATTAAACCAATGACACCATATGCCAAAACACTTAAGACAAATGAACCATCTTCATATATTATAAAGATAAAATACTCACGAATATACCTTTGTTACCTTATGTTTGGGCTATATAAATGTATCTTAGTCTAGACCCGTCATTTATTGTAGTTACTATGTTTTTCCAAGCAATTTCGTCCATAACCTTGTTACCACTATACACTGCAAAGTTCTTTGTATATTCCACCATTGCAAAACCAATAGGTAAAGGTTGATCTTTGTCTTTAAAATTCTTCAACCGTTTGTTTCACTTTGATTCCACCATTTGTTCACATGCACATCATATTGTGATACCTGCGTAAATAATTGTTACTATCATTGGTAGGTGAGAACGTCCGCATTGCAATGAAAGACATGAGCGATATTGTTCGGTGGTATGATTAATTTTACATTTTGTAGATCGGTTGTTGAAATAAATGTCCACGTTGCAATGAAACAAATATAACTAGTTAACAACTAATTTTAAGATAATAAATGGAATAAATTGTAAAGATTGTGAATATGGAAAATTAGTACATCATTAAATGATAATAGGAGGGTAGATAAAATGATTTTAACCAACTATGAGTTTTAAGGTTTACTCTTACTCCTAAAGATTTTGTCTTTGAGTATTATAGAATTTAGTTCTCAAATATAATAGTAGTTGTAGTTTATGCAATTAAATAGATAAACACTATGTATGCTTTGTAAGATAATGTTATCGAAGTAAATGGAGTTGAAAAAAGAGCTTTTTAGATCCATTGGTCATTAATAATGTTAAATTTGGGCATTATATATATATATATATATATATATATATATATATATATATATATATATATATATATATATATATATATATATATATATATATATATATATATATATATATATATATATATATATATATATATATATATATATATGATCAACATGAAGTATTAAACAAATACAATCTATGCTTTTTGATGATGTGAAATAGTAAAACCCCATGTTGAATTATTGATGATTATGTATTAAATTGGTTTATTGAATAAATCAATAGAAATTATGGGCTAAATTTATGAGGCTAGTTATCGTGCCAATTTTGTTTGTATCCGATGTGGAAATTAAGAAGTTAAATATAATCTTATTGTAGTTTTACATTGTTTATCTTCCTTTTGATATCTAAGGTGGTATGACATAAACTTATTACATGTAAATTTATATGTAACCCCTTTTTGACAATTTATGGAGCTTGAGTTAAAAGTGATAGAGCAATTCATCTGCCAAATACAGTGAGTAAGAAAACGGTGCTTTGTAACACCCCACTTTTCAAATATCGATTAAATGGCTAATAATCATTTCAACATCTTTCAAGATCAATTATAAACTTAGTTATAGATTAAACTACAGTGGAAACATTAATAAAATAAAATAAAGTCTTCAACCGAAGAGCTTTGAATGTTACGTCTTTGCGGAACTCATTTGTCGTCTTGTTAGTCAATCATTCTCGTTAGCCTTCTTACTGCCACTTGTTAAATAGTTTTCTAAATTGCGCACATTTTGAAATTTCTAAAAGGGTAAGCCTAGGGCCTAGTGAGTTCGTTTTGCACATACATGTGCATCACTTAAAAAAACAAATAGGTTTATCATATATCTTCAGCAAAACATATCACCCAATAACATAATTCAGGGAAATGATTAATTATCCAGAGAAAGAACCAATGGATCGTTTCCCCTCTCCTTGGTACAACCTATCAAATTGTACTCAAGAATTTTAAATATCCAAAGAAATGATTATGATTCTCAATTCCCATCCCCGCCAATCACACACATCTATCATGACCACGACGATTAAACACTTACCCGTTCCTACTAAACATGTCATCCAACAAAACACACACGGTATATAACAAATCCAAAATAAAATTTGCACGCAACAATACTTAACATAAAAAATACTATTAATAAATAAATAAAAACCGCATAATAAACATATGATAAATATTTATGTGTGAGCAACCACAGAACACGAAAAAAAACTCACCTTGTTGGCGTTAGATCTTAATCGAATGTTATCACGCTACTTGCAGATATATACCCTACGTTTAACCAACATGCTCTTTAAGGCTACAATACTAGAAAAAACGTTATATGTGTTCATGGTTTTAAACTATTAATATGTCTCATTCAGACAACCAATAATTTTATAAGATTTCGTAATTATATTTTTCATCATAACCTTAGTAAAGTCAATATTTCCAAATAATTAACCCCCCCCCCCCCCCCCCCCCCCTTTCAAATTTAATACTCCAAACTAATAAAATTTAAAGATAGGCAGAAGTTATCAAACTACAAGGGTTGTTTTGTAACTTGTGATTTTAAATCTAAAAAAAATAAAAATAAAAACTAGCAACTTATCACAAAACACGGAGTACTAATATAACTAGTAAGTGATGCTGACATTAAAAAATATTAACTGAAAAAAAAAATCAAAAGTGGTCCAACTGGTTTTTGACTTAAAAAAATGGCCTAAAACTGAATAAAATTTAAAAAGTGGGCCAAAATTGACAATCTTATTAAATTTTATGGACCATTTATGTCAAAAAGCAGCGCCCCTCACATAATTTACTGTTCATAACGCTGTTATGCCTTTCATGTGTATATTAACTAGGAAAAAAAATCTTATTTTGCGGGGTTGGACACACTAAAGAAATTGAAAAAACATGAGTATTACAAAATTAGCCTCAGAAACGGACACATTATGACATAATGAGTTAAGAAAAAATAGTAATGACTCTTATTTCACCCAAATAACAAACAAAATTTATGGTAAACAATACCTTGTGTAAAAATGAATACATAACATTTTTTTAGATTAAGTTGAAAAATAAAACCCATATATAGAAAATTGAGTATACCCATAGCCCATAAAATTATCAACCCGTTTTGATATGCAATCAACACTTTGCAGATTAAAAGATACATGCAACATAACTTAGCCCAATCCATTTATGGACATTATGAAAGATTGGCCTACTGATCATAAAGAAAGAAAATAGGTAATGAATTTCAATGATAAACCAAAAAGAAAAGATTAATTATTTTCTATACGTCTTCCCAGTGGAACACCGTTGGACAAGAAGTCCCACAAATATACTGGTGCTCAGGTATTTGAATCCCACCTCCATCTGCCAAAATGGAAAGTAATGATAATTATTTATCTTAATTATGTAAAAAATGTGCCAACTATCAATTAGTAGAAGTCAGTAGTGAGCAATTGCATTACCAGCTATGACATCTGGAGGAAGCTGATAGGACATAAGTTGGATATTCCCTTCTTCAATTTCATACTTCAACATAGACAAATATCCATACTCATCTCTAATGTATCTGTTTGCAATAATATACAATTAACGATGAACATTCCTATGGTCCTTTTACATCAAATTGAAAATATGAAATGTAAGAAGTCAACTTTTGGGGAAACTCACATGTAATTGGTGCTACAAATTACAGAGAATGCACTTATATTGGATCCGCATTATAAATTAGCATCCAACTGTCACCGTTCTAGATCCCAAACCTTTCAAAATCATAAGCATTTTTGTAAGGATATAAGAGATGAAATTACATGGACATATAGATACCATACCTGTATTTCATTTTCATTCGAGACACTGAAAATAAACCCTTGGTTTTGTATGAACTAGAAGAAAACATAAGAATATCAGTGAAACATATACCTGTTATGAACTTAGACAGAGAACTCTTCTTTAAAATAACAAAATATGACATAAAAAAGAAACATTTGAGCACCATATGGATAATGAAAAAGTTCACCCAAAAGAAAATACGCAGTAATTAATCAGTGATGAGACCAATAAAGCATGATTTATGATAGAAGGATTAAACCCTTAATCCTTGAAGCAATCACATTCCGGATTATAGCAATGTACTTTAGCACACGATTAATATTATAGAAAAGGTCATGACATGGTGCCTCATTCACGATAAAAAGATATTATGTCAATTTAGCTTTGTAGTGTTCTTTATTTAAAACTTTATTGGAAAAAACTATGCTGGTAACAAATGTTGTAGCAATCAAGTTGTTCAGAAACAATTTCATAGTTTTAGGACTATATTGCCCCTGCCCACTGTTTTTATATTAATAAAATTCAATTCTTAAAGTTTTAGGGCCATATTGACCCTGCACACTGTTTTTACATTAAAAAAAATCAATTTTTACAGTGTTAGGACGATATTGCCCATGAACACTGTTTTTTATATCAATAAAAATCAAATTTTAAGTTGTAGGATGATATTGCCCCTAAACACTGTTTTAATATTAAAAAAAAATCAATTTTTACATTTTTAGGACAATATTGCCCCTGTACACTTTTTATATTAATAAAATTAATTTTTTTACAGTTTTAGAACCATATTGCCACTGTACACTGTTATTATATTAGTAAAATTCAAAATTTACAGTTTTAGGAGCATACTGCCCCATGCACACTGTTATTATATTAAAAGAATTCAATTTTTAAAGTTTTAGGACCACATTGCCCCTGCACGCTCTTTTTAGTGGGTTGATTTTGAAGCTACAATGTTTAATAGACTACCGTGTATCAATTACAACAATAATCCCTGCAAAATCTAGTGGAAAAGCTAGATTATCCTCCTCAACTCCTTTCAAAAACACGATCTTTGCCTCACCAATATCATGGTTAATGACATTATTCCATTCTTTAATCTAAGTGGTGCCCGACGCTCTTGCGATTGATTAAAAAGTAATAACCCTAAGTTCCTACTTTCACCACGTTGTTAGTTGTTCGGTCAAAGTTTGAGGCCTTTCTTAGGCCCAATACCACTATTAGTTGGGCCAATTGAAATACAAAATAACTTAGTAATTTTCACCCTCACACTCAACTCAGATAT